ACAGGCCGGAAACAAAGGAAGTGGGGCTGCACCCAAAGGGGCGGATTCGGCGTCCGGGTGGGGAGGAGGAAAGTCAAGTCTGCTGGGGAAAGACTGGACTCACAGAACTTGGAGGTGGAGGTGTTGATGTTGATGGTGGAGCTGGGGGTGGGGGCGGGGACCGCCTTGGCCACGGCCGCGTCGCAGCTCTTCAACATCATGATCACCCCATTGGCCTCCGGCGGTGGCGGCGGCCCCATTGGGAGCCCCTCCTTGGGGCCTTTCCTGTCCACCGAGATCGCGGGCACCGCCAACAGCTGCCCCCCCGGAGGCTCTCGGGCAGGGGCTGGGATCGACGAGCGGGGTGGCGGGGGGGGCGGGGGCTGCCGGAAGCCGTCCACAGCGGCCTCCCAGTTGTTGTGGTTCTGGTCGTCCATCATCGCCTCGTAGCTGCCCCCCTCCTCCTCTTCCATGCTTTCCTCCATCCTGCTGGCCCCCAGCACCCGCCCGCCTCACAGGCACCTGCCGTCCGTCTCAACCCCGGGCCAGGGGGCACCGCAGCCTCCTCGAGCTCACATCGCCGGGGGCCGGAACAGGCGCAGCGGGGAGAGCAGCGGTGCACCGGATCTCTCACTCTCCGCCGGGCCGACTCTTAGAGACAGGATTGACGGCGGTGGGCGCTCCCGGGCTCCGGTCTGGGAGAGGCAACCGTAAAGCGGCAGCGCCCTTCACGACATTTCACAGCAGCTTCCAACAGGCAGTTGGAAAGGGCAGCTGGGGGTGCGGCCAGGAGGGCACGTGGTGCGACGAACGAAATGCGAGAAAGCCAAGCGAAAAGGGGCGGGAGCTGTGAGTCACCGCACGCAATAGGGCAGAGGTTCGCCCCGCCTCGGCCAACCCCGCGAAGAGGAGGGAGGGGCGACGAGTCCGGAGGAGCGTTCCTCGGCCCCGCCCCTGTCCCGGCCTCACGTGATAAGAGAGTTTGGCTGCGCACGCGCGTTCTCAATCTGGTTGCCTGGACGACGGGGAGCCTGGCCGGCTTCTGAAGATGAACGCAAAGCCTAGTGGGCAGTCGTGACACCGACCCAGCTTTGGGTGGTGCTTTGCTTGAGCTCACCTTATTTACCCGGCCTTCGCCCCTCAGAGGACATCGCAGCCCGGCCTTGGCTTGAGGACGGAGCCAGGGGACCACAACAGGCCCCGGGTCACACATTATAAACGTGTGAGACCGCCTTGGATGGCCCTTAGTGGGACTGCTAGTGGGCCTCAGCCCACACCACCCAAATTCTCAAAACCGGGAATAAAAAGCGAAACGTAGCAGGGTGGGTAAAAAAAAAAAAAAAAATGTTCGAAATATTCATGGATTTTTTTTTTTTTAAAGCTCCTTAACTCTTCCACACACTAAGGCCAGAAATTTTAAACTTAAAAATACCAATCCACGTGTACTGTTTCACAAATCTGACTACAAATTTGGGATTATGTGTGAGTCGAGAGGCAAAAAAGAGATTACATAACTATTGTAATGTTTCTCATTTCTCTGCATTCTCAGATTAGCAATAATATATGAGAATTGTGAAGCTCATTGTAGCTACTAGTGCTAAGAAAGTTATCTAGAAAAATGCTTTATTACATTTAAACTAGCAGATAGTGAATCTTTAATTCCACAGATATGGGATTAATATGAAGAATCACTTTATCCACTGAGAAATTGTCTCATGTACTTCAGTGTCCACATTTGTTTCAGCTTCTTTACATATTTTTTTCCCAATATATTCTGCACTATGCCTAATGGAACATTTTTACCAATTACTCAGAATGATTAATTCCAGGCAATTCCCTTATATTAATGAAAGACATATGTTTTGAATCGCATGGTTTTAATTCTCTGGGCCTTGGAAATATAAAACGAGAAAAATTAAGTAAAAGACAACTGTGTGAAATGCTGCGAGAGGCGGGGTGGAAATATGCCCAGCATAAAAAAAATAAACAATAAACGGAAGAAGGAAGAATTAGTCTTTTTCAGACTAACGACAACTGATAGACTTTCTGGGGAGATGGATGAGTGTGTGTGTCACAAGATAAAGAGAGATCTTTACATAATAAAAAATTCAATATACAGGAAGATAAAAGTCATAAATGTGTCTCTGATAACTTGGTCACAAATATATAAAGCAAAAATTGAGACATACAAGAAGAAAAATACACCATCAGAATAGATGATGTTCACATATCTCTCTAATAGATTGCAATGGGTTGAATAGTAGCCTCCCAAAAAGATATGTTCTCTAATCCTTGGAACTTGTGAATGTTAAGTCTACTTGGAAACAGGGTCTTTGTAGATGCAATTAAGTTAAAAGATCTTGAGAAGATCACCCTGGATTATCCAGATGGACCATAAAGTCAATGACAGGTGTCTTCCTAAGAGAAAGGCAGAAGATCTGAGACAGAAGAGGAGACACAGAAGAGGAGGAGGCAATGTGACCACAGAAGCTGAGATTAAAGTGATGCAGCCACATTCCACTCAAATGCCAACAGCTGTTAGAGCTGGAAGAGACAAGGAATAGATTCTCCCCTACAGACTCCAGAGAGAATGCAACCCTGCTGATGCTTTGATTTTACATTTCTAGCTTCCAGAATTGTCGGATAATATATTTCTGTTGTTTAACTCCACCCTTTTGTGGTAATTTGTTACAGCAGCCACAGAAAACTAATACATAGATCAAAGGGACCAAAAATCTTTAAAGGACTAGAAAATTCAAATAACACAATTATCAAGCTTGTTTTGATGAATACATGCAGAACGTTATACTCAATAACTACAGAATAGACATTCCTTTCAAGAAAATGTGAAACGTGTACAAAAATTTAACATACTGGGTCATAAAGCAAGTCTCTCTACATGTGTAAGGATTGGTATCATAGCAACCACATTCTCTGACCACTATGTAGTTAAGTTAGAAATCAACAAACAAAAGATAGCTAGTAAATCTCCATATTCCTACTCTTCCAATCAATTCATGCGTCAGGAAATTATAATGGAAATAAGAAAACATTCAGAACTGAAGAGATTGGTACTACCATAACAAAATAACTTCCATCCCAGTAAGGTCCTACTCTAGGGGTTTTGACCCAGCATACTGGTGAAAGCTGAACCCTTCACATGTACACTGCCCAAATCAATATGAGACATTCATTTTTCTTATAATTGGTTGAATACACCATTATGCTGGAAGGGTTCTAAATGAGTCACCCTAAGATGTGCCTTTGTTATACGGTTTATTTTGAGGTAAAGGCAACAGATTCTACAGACTCAAAAGAAACTTCTGTATCCCTTAACTACCTAGAAGAATTTAAATTAGGGGCCTTGCCCATAATATGAGTTATACATAGACATGTAAAATATATATGTAAGTTTGTAAACATAAGGAAAAGTCTAATTCAAAATCTTAATAGCAGGTATCTAGGAGTAATGGGATTCTGAGTGTTTTTAATAATTATTCTTGGTATCTTTCAGTGTTTTCTATGTTCTCTACAACAAGCATGTATTAGTTTTATAATTGGAAAAAAAAATCTCAAACCTTAAAATTTTAAAAATAAACACAAACAACATTAAGAAGGTATAAATTTGGATTCTAAATGTTAAAATGGTTGTCTTGGCTTCCAGAAACAGAAATCTCAAGCAAAAATTGCATTGAAATCAAGGCTATTCATTGGCTAACAGTCTAATAAGGTCTAAGAAGGGCAAAGGTGAGGCATAGTTCAGTCAGGGCTCTGGCTCTGTTCTCTGCCATGTTCTTTGTCCTGATCTCATTTGCAGACATTATCCTCTAGCTGCCAGCAAAATGGCTGCCACAGCCCTGGGCCTCATATAGACGACAATGTCAAGATGAAGAGGGCCCATTACTTCTGGTAGCTCTTTACTATGAGCAAGCAAGTTCTTTCCCAGAAGCTCTCAGAAAAGTTCCTCTCAATGTCTCATTGGCCCATTTCTAAACCAATCCATGTGGCATTTAATCCTGTGTTCCAGAGCCATTTGCTAGACAGGGTTTGGATTTATCCCTAGAAAATAAGGCCCACCCCTGGAATTCAGAGTGGGATCGGCTTCTGCTTAAGTACATTGGCTGAGAAGGGAAGGGGTGGACACAAGAACAAAAACTGGGGTCGAGTTGGGAGGTTTAAGTGGGTGCTAGATAGGCAATAATGCCCACTGTAGGCCCAAGTACCTAATCCCCCAGAACCCATCCATTGCAATAACCTCATCCCAACCTCTCCACTCCCTCCCCTTCATAAACACCTCCCTAATCAATATATTCATGTGAAATTAGGTGTCATACTGATTAAAATCAAGAGAGACATAACTTGTGTTTAATGTCACCTATCCCACAGAATATTTCATTGCAATCATTCAGTATTTTGAATTAATACTAACTTAAATCTACTTTAAGTCTTATTTCATATCGACAGTCTTTTTTTCTTTTGTCAATTCTTAAAACAGCCTGCACTATGAGATATATTTTTCCCTAAGAAAAAATAAAGTTTATTATTGTTATGTTTTCATCTTTTTACATAATTCTTGCATTCTTAGTAAAGGATGAAATTGCTCAGAGGCAAGCAAGAAAAAGAAAGATAAAACGTATATCAAAAAATCTAAAAACTACATGCCTCTTCTAGGTAGTCAAGTAAGAACTAATTGAATCAGAGAATATCGTGATAGACATATAGATGATTTATTTTCATTGTTATTTCATTTTAAATTTACTATTAATTTCATAAATGTATTAGCATGGGAAACTTAAAAACATAACTTTGATAGAGATAAACTATATTAGAATAAAGAAGAATGAATACTTTTTTAATACCTAGGAGATTATAATGGTAACAATACAGCATTTGGCAAAAAAAAAATGACTTGTGAATGCATAACACAATTGAAAGTCTAAACACAAAACCATTGGAATGATCTTTATTTGAAGGTAAGAGGATTAAAGACATGTAAATAACTCAAGCCTCAATAGTTGAACACTGAGATTATTGCTTACGGTGAAGATGTGTAGCCACTCGAGGGATTATTCTCTATTCGGAATTTCTTTCCATGTTGGATTTTGTTCCTTACTTTTACATCTTAGCATCTGAATCCTAAATTCCATCCTAGCAGGGGGAACAGAGATAATGATGCAGATGTTCTCCGTAAACCTGATGAATTTAGTTGCCAAAGGAGGCTGTAGAAAGACAGCTTTTCCTGCCGGCACCTTGGTGCAGGCCTATCCCTTTCACTCAGTCATTTGCTGATATTTGTGTTCAAGCACTGTGCCGGGGCTACAAGAGTAAACAGATGAAAAAGGTCTTCTGACCTTCATGGAGTTGCCACTCCACTGAGGTGCCAAGTATTAAGCTAGTAACCACATGAGCCAAACCATGACAAGTACTATGAAGGAAAACACTAGGCTCTCTGGGAAGGCATAACAGAGGAAATGATTTTACTTAGATGATCAAGGAGAAACTTTCTGAAAAAGTATATATCTGCTAAGATGAAAAGATGAGTAGAAATTAGTCAACAAGTTAGGGAGAGAACATTCCAGGCAGAAGAAATAACATGACAAAAGGCATTTGACATCATCTAGGAACTGAAAGAAAGGGAATGAGACTGGAGCGGAATGAAGGAGAGGAAAAGGGACATGGCCTACAGAAGAAAGACGGGAAACAGCCAGGTTATGCATGTCCCTTTAAGACCTGCTGAGGATTTTTTGTTTCTGTTTGAACAGAAGAAAAAGGTAAGGAAGAGGTGATGAACATTTTATAAGGGCAACTAACTG